ACTGACTGGTTGCAGACGAGGAAGTCAGAGGCATTTGAACCATAAGAGGGATTCAGTATTCAACACTCTAAATTCTCTCTCTCAACAGAGGGAGGCTTTCTATTACTGAGATGGAGGGGGCCATGTGGCTAGCACCTGAGAGTGGCCCCCAGCTGACAGAAAGGAAATGGGGGCCATAGTCCTATAACCACCAGGAAATGAGTTCGGCCAACAGGCTGAAGAAGCTTGGACATGGGTCCTTCTCCAGTTGAGCCTCCGGATGAGGATGCAGTCCAGCCAACACCTCCATTGCAGTTTCATGAGACCTTGAGCAGAGGACCAGTTAAAACATACCAGATTTCTGACTCCCAGAAACCGTGAGATAATAAATGTGTGTTGGTTTAAGTCACTAAGTTTGAAGTACTTTGTTATGCAGCAGTATATAACTAATACATAGGTTGGCAAGAGCTATTAGCAATAACTGACTAAGAGTGGGTGTTCATCCCAGCGTGGTTTAAAAACACATAAACTGCAAACAACATAAAGGGATTATATAGATAAACTATTGTAAACTCATTAATAATAATGATTTCCAGGGGTGACTGGGTGGCTCAGTCGGTTAAGCACACGACTTTGGCTCAGCTCATGATCTCGTGGTTTGTGAGTTCAAGTCCTGCCTCAGGCTGTGTGCTGACAGCTCAGAGCCTGGAGTCTGCTTTGGATTCTGTGTCTCCCTCTCTCTCTGTCCCTCCCCTCCCCTCAAAAATAAAATAAAGGTTAAAAAAAAGACGAAGAAATAATAATGACTTCTATGACGATGCCATTTGCCACTGGTCCAGGGCCCGGCTTTTGTGTAAATGCTGTTATTATCCCTGTTTTATGATGTGAGCACACCAAAGAGGGCAAGTCATATCCAAAGCCATATAGGGGATGAGGAACAGACTAGAGTCACTGTTCCCATCATAGAGTTAGAGGTTCTGCAATGAGCTGGCCAGGTGGAGTGCATGCCAAGGGGCCATCCCAGAGGCTTTCTATTACTGGAAATTGGACCAGCCAGTTTCCAATTCCTTGGGTGATGTAGTTCTTTTTTTTTTTTTAATAAAAATTTTTAATGTTTATTTTTGAAAGACAGAGTGTGAGTCGGGTAGGGCAGAGAAAGAGGGAGGCACAGAATCCAAAGCAGACTCCAGGATCTGAGCTGTCAGCACAGAGCCTGATGCTGGGCTTGAACTCATGAACTGTGAGATCATGACCTGACCCGAAGTCAGATGCTTAACACACTAAGCCACCCAGGCAGCCCTGGGTGACATAGTTCTTAGAGACTTTGGAGAGCATGCCAATGCCTGATGATTCCTCCATTATTGTTCCTTGGGTTCCATTGGGAGCCATAGGAGCATTAAGTGTAAAGTGGAGAAATGGTTATTACTAAGCAGTGCAGCCCATGGTTACAGTGTTCTTAACTCTCTTGATGTCTCCAAGCCTTGGTTTCCTGATCTGGCAGATGAGTACAAACCACTGTATTCCCTCCTAAAGGCAGTCATGGATGGCAAGCACTGAGCACAGAGCTTGGTGCATTTTAGGCACCCAATATTACTACTGTTGTCTATTTCTCAGATAAATCCACAGAGGCTCGGAAAGGGGTCATGCCTTTCCCATCGTCACACGAGGAGCAGGTCAGCCCTGAAAGCTGGCTCCTCCTGTGCTCTCCATTTGGCAGTCCAGCTGTTTCTACCCTCCCCATCCTCTACTCTAACCACTCCTCACCTGCCTTATTCCTGCCTTGCCATGATCCCTCTGGGCAGTGAGCCCCACCCACTCCAATATTTACCTGGCCCAGCTCCTGGATAAACAGCTGGGCACAGACAGTGGGCAGAAGGGTCAGTGTGTCTGAGCAAGTGCTGGCACCTTCCCTGTAGGATGAACTGACCCCAAGTGAAGGGTAGAGGATTCCAGAGCTTTAACCCTTAAGCCTTAGGCAGGGTGCATTTGGACCGGTAGTTGTGTTGTGAGAATTAAATGAGATCATTTATTCATTCAACACATATTTTCTGAGCGGCTACTCCATGCTAGGCCCTGGGCTGAGGGTGTTCAATGAAGAAATATAAAGGGATCCAGGTTTCAGCAGCAGGGTGGAGGGTAATCAGGAGGGCTCTGGGTCAGAAAGATTTTAAGTTCAAGTTCCAGCCAGCCCACACATTGGCAGGGCCGATACCCTTGAGTGCTTGCCTCACCTCCTCTGAGCCTTAGTTTTACAAATTTACAAATGGAGATGTTAATGGCAGGTATGGGAAAATATTTCAAGGAGTCTAGCATGGCCTTGGGGTCAGCAGTTCATGGTCAGATGACAGTGCCAACTTGGCAGTGGTGGGCAGAACTTAAGGAGATCACCTTAGTAGAGATATACAGAAGGCCCCTGAACTTCACCTTCCTCTCTTAATTCAAAGTCTTCATCCTATGACCACAGTCTGTAATTAGATTGAAGAGAAAAAACAAATCAAGAACTTTCCATAGGTTAGGATACCCAGGAGCCCAGGAGAAGCTTGCATGGGCAAGCCAGTACTGATCTCCAGCCTCAGTTTCCCCACCTGTAAAATGGGAGATTGATAAAATTGTGGTTCCTGTGAAAAAAATCAGTCTGGCAGATTCTTGAAAAGTTAAACAGTTACCATCGAACCTAATAGTTTCACTCTTAGGTATAGACCCAAGAGAAGGGAAAACATTTGTCCACACAAAAGCTTGTACATGAATGTTCTCAGCAGCACTATTTAATAATAGTCAAATGGTGGGAACAACCTAAGTGCCCATCAGTGGATGAATGAGTAAATAAAATGTGGTCCATCCACGCAATGGAATATTCGTCATAAAAAGGAATGAATGATTGATACATGCTACAACAGGAGCAGCCTTGAATATGTTAACCTTGAAAATGAAACAGCCAGTTATTTTACCAATGAAATGGGTTTACTAGGGAAAAGCAGAGGAATGGCAACTCAGGATACGCAAGCTATGGTAAAATCATTGGCAGAAGCAAGTAAAAGAGATGAAACATTACCTTGTAGAGAAAAAAGAGGAAGTTGGGAGGGGCTGCTTTGAAGGAAAGTCCATTGAAGAAAAGTCAAGTTAGTTTCTCATTGGCTGAGTTGTGGCAGCATCTCATTGGCTGCGCTATTCCTGGGTGAGGAGAAAATCATCCTTCATCCTGCTGGGGTAGTAAAGTAGACTTTTTCCTGTTGGGGTCTGCAATTGACAGTGAGTCAGCAGGTCACAGAGCTCCCTCTTCTGACCTGACTCTATTTTAAATGAGGTTGCCTTCATTCACTTTCCCAAAAACATCATGCTGAGTCTTTCACTGAATGCTGGTCACAGAAGGTCATATAATTCCATTGATATGAAATGTTCAGAATAAGTAAAACCATAGACAGAGAAAGTAGGTGACTGGTTGCAGGGGTTGGGAAGGTGGGGGATAGAAGTGACTATTTAGTGGGTAGGGGTTTTCTTTTTTCTTTTTTTTGGTAAAGGTTTTATTTTGTGGGTCACCTGGGTGGCTCAGTTGGTTAAGCATCTGACTCTTGATTTTGGCTCAGGTCATGATCTCATTTGTGGGTTCAAGCCCTGTGTCCAGCTCTGCGCTGAATGTGGAGCCCGTTTAGGATTCCCTTTTCCCCCTTCCCTCTGCCCCTCCTCCCCTCAAAATATGAATTAAAAATATTTTATTTATTTTTAAATGTTTATTTAATTTTGAGAGAAAGATCACAAGCAGGGGAGGTGCCTAGAGAGAGGAGGACAGAGGACCTTAAGCAGTTTCCGCGCTGACAGCAGAGAGGCTGATGTGGAGCTCCAACTCACCACGGGATCAAGAGTCACGTGCTTTATTGGCTGAGCCAGCCAGGTGCCCGGGGTATGGGTTTCCTTCAGAGGTGATGAAAATTCCCCAAATGAGATAGTTGTGGGTGCACAGCATTGTGAATGTATTAAGTGCCAATGAATAGCACACTTAAATGGGTTAATATTATGAAACAAAATATTTTGTTATGTTAACTTCTTTTAATGTTTATTTTTGAGAGAGAGAGAGAGAGGGAGAGAGAGAGAGAGACAGTGTGTGAGCAGGGGAGGGGCAGAGAGAGAAGTGGACTCCCAGGCTCTGAGCTGTCAGCCCAGAGACTGATGCGGAGCTCGAACTTAGGAGCCTTGAGATCATGACCTGAGCCAAAGTCCAACGCTTAAGCGACTGAGCCATCCAGGCACCCCCGTAAGGTGTTTTCGTAAAATGGGAAAGTTGGACATCCACCATGTCTCAGGAACCTTGGGGTTGTAGAATTTTATTCTAATAAAAGTCTACTCTTATCATGAGCAAAATTTCCCGCCTCCCCATCACTCCCAATTCCCCAGCAGCCCGGGCCAGGGAATGCCATCTACTTACCTTAAAGGAAGCCCCACCAGCCCAACCCAGCGTCCAACGCGCGCTTAGTTTGCATAGCCACGCCCACTCACCAAGGCCAATATCCAGCCCCGCCCCCCACGTGTTGTGCACCCGTCCCGCCCCTTTCACGCACAGGCTACCGCTCTCAACAGAAACCAAAGACGGCAGGCTTGGTGCGACCTCATAAATAATGCATCACGTCAGCGGTTAGAGAGGCGTGGCTTCGACCTGTCTGGCTGAGTCAGGGTCATGAATAATGCATATTGAGGCGGGGCCTGGAGGGGTGCGCGTGTCGGGGCGGAGTCCGGGTACGGAAGTCGCCCTCTCTGGGACCTTGAGAGGTGGGGCCATCCACGCTTCATGAATATACAGCACAGCAGGGCGGTGACTGTGAGCTTCGCCAGGTCCACAGGGGGCGAGACCAGCTGCGGTCATGAATAATGCAACAGTCTGCGGGCCGTGCAGAGGTGACTGTGGGCCAGGTTAGATCCAGAGGGGGCGTGGCCAGTCGCGTCTTATGAATAATACAGCGCGTCAGAGGGCGGCGGGGTGGGGCGTGGCCGGCGCGCCGGCGCTGGAACCGGGAAGGGGGGGCGGGGGAGCGATGGTCGCAAGATGGCGGCGCTGAAGGAGGATCGGAGCTACGGGCTGTCCTGCGGGCGGGTGAGCGACGGCAGCAAGGTGTCTGTGTTCCACGTGAAGCTTACCGACAGTGCCCTGAGAGCCTTCGAGAGCTACCGCTCCAGCCAGGTGAGCGGCGCGGGGCCCGACGCGTCCGTCAGAGAAGTCGAGGCGCAGGCCGGCCTCACGCGCCCCTCGCTGAGGCGTCCTGCCCTGGGGGCGCGGGGTCCGGCGTCCGAGGTGCTGCTCGCAGGTTCCTGGGCCGACAGGTCGCGGGGTGGGCACCTGTACAGCTTGGAGCGCGGGGAACTGCGTTCCTTCACGGCGCTGGGAGGTGACACTGGCGGGCGCCCCGAGGCGGCCGAGGGAACGACCCGGAGCTCGCGCGTCTGGTCCGGGGGTGGGGGTGGGCGAGGGCGACTAAGTCGGTACCCGGAGGCTCCAGAGCCTTTCCTCGCTCACCCAGCCCCTTGGCATGGACTGAGCTGTTCACCTAGCTCGGGGACGCGGTGGAGGGGAGGCTTGGGGCTTCTCCGTCTGGGTACCAGGCAATGGTGGATGAGTGGGGCACCGCTGTCGGGGCACCTGTGGAGATCCTTTGCCGTTTGTGTGGGGAGGCCGTGTCTTCGTTGGCGGGCCGGCTTTGACACCAGTGAGCCCTTGGAATTGGGCTCACTGTTGGTTCTTGGGAAGGGGAGTTTGAGCAGAAACTGACAGCTTGTTTCCAACTCCCCTACTCCTGGCAGGTGACTCTTTCTTACTGGACATTTTTAGAGAGTGGGAATATTTTGGGGGGGAAGAAGGTGTGCCTGTGGCGGGGGGTGGGGTGGGCGAGTGTCACAGCCTTTCGCAGGCCGGGAGCCCCTTGTGGGCACCTAGCTGCTGACTCTCAAACTTCTCAGGGGCTGATTTGGGCCCATCTGGGGAAGTTAGAGGCGTTTCACTTCTGCCACCTGGCTCAGTGTGCGTGGGTTGGGGGAGGCTGCTGTGTACCTTCTTTCAAGTCTGACTTTGGGGGCACATCTGGGACACTGGTCAGAAACCTGCTTCTTCCCATTTCTGTTTGTGTCATGGCGCCCTCCATCTGTGTTGGGACAGAAGTTGCAGGTGCCCATAGTGGTCAGGACCTGGGGGGAGGAAGTGGCTTGGGAGCCCTTTAACTTGTTGCCTGGAAAGTGGGGACTTTGCAGTCATAAAGTGGCTGGGGAGGGGTGTCCAGCTCACGGAGGCCTTGCTTGGTGTGTGTGTGTGTGTGTGTGTGTGTGTACTGGGAATGGGGGGGCCCGAGGGCGGGTGAGGAGAGAGACTAACTAGGAAGGAATGTGGCTTTCTTCCTGCCCCAGACTTGTTCAGCACCATTAGCTAAGCCGGGAATTTCTTCTCCTGTTACGTCCCCACCACTTTCCCGGTGCCCACCCTTCCCGTGCTTCTTCCCACTTTTTTTTTGTGTGTGTGTGTGGCAGTTTCCTTCCTGTCCTGGTGTCACAGTTTCCCATTCACAGAAGAGGTCTCTTTTTTTTAGAAGAGCAAGTTCTCCCCTTGTCAAAAGGATTCCCCAAGATGAGGCTAAGGCGCCCTTACAGGTGAGAAGGAGGTGGTGGGGACACTGGGTCCAGCTTAAGTCTCCTTTCCTTGTGCCATTCCAGCCCAGAGTCTTTTCCCTAAGCAGTTCCGACTTGTCCTGCGGGAAGGCGGGCTTTCCTAGAAACAGCTGGGGGAGAGCTCATGAGTCATGTAAATAAGGTGAACTTGGTACCTGGTCACTTGAGAGCCCCGCCTTCCCTGCCATGCTGCCCTTGCTTGATCTAGTCGTCTGGAAGGGCTGCCTGTGTGTCCACCTCATGCTGTCATACTGCTATTTTTAATTTAGGGTGTTGGTTACATCCCCTAAGTAAGCTGGATCTTCCTCATGTGCGGGTGAAGGTAACGACAGACTCCAGTTCATCCCACTCGAAGCACAGCTGTGTATGGCAGTGTTGATCAGCCAGGAGGGGCTCCCTCGAAGAACTTCTCCAAGCCAGTGGGGGCGTCTAGGCCAGCTGGACTACACTTTGAGGGTGACCCAAATTTGAGTTTTTCTCAGAAGCTGACTGTTAATTTAAGTTACGTGGCAGTTTCACGTTTAATGTCACTTGTTAGGGCAATGTAGTGGATTGAGCTAAAATCAGGGCAGCTTAGGTGCTTCTGGGTGGTGGGCATGGGGAAAGTGCCTGGAAGAACTGGTTTGTACCACCGGAGAAGTGTATGGATTATTAACAAAACCTCTTACATACAGCGGTCAGTGGTGTCTGGAGTTTTCTATTCTGTCGCACTGTGGTTATTATATGGTTTGTCAGTAGCAACTTGTGGAGAGGGTTTTTATTTTTACTTTTAATTGCAAAGAGACTTTTACAGACTCAGATGTGGCAGGGGACTGGAGAGGAAGTTCCTGTGAAATTTTGTCTGTGGCCGAAGAGAGCCTGTAATCCTGGCTGTTGGAGTAGCCTGAGTAGAAGTCCCCCTTGGTTTCTTTCTCCAGAGGGGTGTGGAGTGTGAGCTACCTTCGTGTAGACCTGGTGGCCAGCCTGGAATGTAGCAGAAGGTAATATACACGGCTGTCACCACCTAGACTTGGGTTCACGAAGCCTCTTCTTGAATACAAAAACTCGAGTGAGTCCCGAGGCAGCTATGCCTATAGATCTCCCTTTTCACTGTGATGGGCTACTTCTGGGAGAGAAGAGGGAGGAGGTATAGACCCATCCTTCTGAGATAGCGTCATGCACCTGCTCAGAGAAGTGTTCCCTGGCCGCTCTGAGGGATTGACCCTCGAGGCACCTGCCTCAACCACCTGGGTGTTTCATTGGATTGGGTGGGTTCTGTTGCTGAGTGACCTTCTCTCTTGGCTTATAAGCTGCTTGGTGGAGAGGAGCATATTAGTGTTAAGTTAAAATTGAGGGCCCAGGGAGGGGCTCAAAAAGCCTGAAGATTGTAGCCTATCTGAGTTTGAATCTTGGTTCTATCTGCTTGAGGCCTTGGGCTAGTGCATGACCCCTCCCAGTCAAGATTCCTCCTCGTTGAGGCTCTGAGGATCCCAGTGCCTGATCCTCTCCCAGCTCTGCCCTTCTTGTCCTCAGGACTGTGCATATCCCCGTATCTGACCCCTCCCAGCTCTGATTCTTTCTTCTTGCAGGGTTGCAGGTCCCACTGCCTGACCCTTTTTTGAGCTCTGGATTCTTCTTCTCTCAGGGCTGGGAGGTTCCTAGTGTCTGGCCACCTCTGAGCTCTGGATCCTTCTCAAGACTGTGAGGGTCCCAGTACCCAACACCTCCTAGCTCCAGATCCTTCTGTCAGGGCTGTGAGGGTCCCAGTGCCCTGCCCTCTCTCAGCTCTGGCTCTTCCTTCTCTCAGGGCTGGGAGGATTCTGTTTACATGTGTATGGTCACCAGTAGCCCCAACACCCCCTACCTCCCTCCTTCCTTGTTCTCAGGACTTGGTACTTGGACCCAGAGCTGGTCCCCCCTTGGAGGTTTGAAACGCTTTTGTGGGAGGCAGGGAGCCTGGGCTCCTGCATCCACCCAAACCTGATTGAGCACCCGGTTTGTACAGGGCTACTGCTCAGGTGCGGTATGTTCAGAAGTGACTGAGATGGGCCTCTAGTGTCATGAGCTGACATTCTGGAGGCAGGAGTCATATAATAATGAACAAGACAGCACAGAATGGGCACAAAAATTGATAGTCATCAGCAGCAGGAAGGAAATAAAATGGGGTGATGTGATGCTGTGGGGCAGTATAAAAGGGTGCTGATTGAGAGGGGTGCTTCTGGGAGATACCAGGGCTGAGGTCTCTGGGTGAGGGATCCTGTGTAGGGAGGTGGGGGCGTCCCAGGCATGCTGCCTTCAAGCCTTGAGCCAAGAGGCTGGGGAGGATGCTGGGGCATGGAGGGCAGCTGCCAAGGCTCTGTCCTGGGAAGGGTGTGTGGGGAGAGGACATGGAGGAGACCTTCAGCGAATACTCCATGCCTGTTCGAGAGCTGTGCTGGGGGCTGCTGGCCTGCTGCTAAGGGGGTGGCTGTGTGGATGTCAGCCCGGGCACTGGTGGCGGGAGGAGCCTTAATTTAGCCTCTGTTCCCTTCTCACAGTGAGGCCCCGGGAAGTAGGCTTGTCTCCCCTTTCTGAGGGTGCCCACCTAGCCCTAAGCAGGACAGTTTCATGCCAGCTCTGTCTGCTTTTCAGAGCAGCCGTCTTCAGGAATAGCTGGTGCTGCTCCTCTTGGCTATGGGCTGGGCCCCTCTAAATCTTTTGTCCAGGCTCGTGTCTTCTTTTTGACAACCTTGGCTGGAAGGCTAGCTTATTGTTCCCACTGTGCCTCGAGGGCAAGTTGGGGCTCAGAGGGTCATCGTCCACCTTCAAGATCACTTGGCCTGTCCTCTGGCCCAGGCTGCCTCTTGAGTTGGGAGGGAGTTTGAGCCACTGGGACACAACTGTAAAAAGGGGTCCCACCATGGTCTCGAGGTCTAGTTAAATGCCAGTGCTCTGGGCTCCTGCAAGCATTGGTGACATGAATGGCCTTGCAAATTCCTGAGGTTGTCCCTGTAACTGTACTGTGCCCCCTGCCCTGAGAAAGCCTAAAGATGGTGATAACCAACACCTGCAGGTCACCTGCCACATGCCAGCACTGCCCCAAGCTGCACATGTTATGTTATCTCACCCCCGTCTGTCAGCCCTGTGGCGGGGAGTGGCTCCCACTTGTCAGGTGAGGAAATGGGAAGAGGCTCTGGGAGGTCAAGTCACCAGAAGGAATTTCCCAACTGGGACGGGGCTGCGAACCAGGTGTCAGGCTTGAATGCCGTGTGTGGCTTCAAGCTCTGCCCCCTCTTCAGGGAGGTGGCCTGGCTGGGCCCGGGGGATTGTGCTGGCCTGGTGGTGTCAAGAGCACCGCTTCCTGGCTCCTGCCCTCGGAGGGAGTTCAGTTTACTTGTGTATTTCATAGCACACTCTTGATACTTCAGGTGGGGTGAATCCTTCCTAGAAGGCTCCTGTCCCACAGGTGCAGTGAGAGGATGTGTGAATGACCCAGGGTGTGGGGGCAAGGGACAAAGGCTTCTGCAGGTGGCCAGTGAAGTTGTGGTGAGGGGCTGGGGCCCCGCCTCT